CCGCTTATACCAACATAGGCTTAATTATTTGTATTTGTCAAATGATATGAGTACATATGCTATGACTATTAGAAGTATATTACATTTTCTACAGAATATACACTCCCAATAATCTTATTAGATTTTCTTCTGAGTTCTGGCTGGTACAGCAACAAAAGCTTTAATGAAAGACATATAAACATGGAAGAAAGAAACAATGATGAAGAAGGTAAGATTTTCACACAACTATCCGGATCCCCTGGGCTATCAATGAGTAGGGTCTGTTACCAACGTACTAACAAGGAATTTGAGGTTTCACATTACTTTCAGGAAGCAGAAAAGCAGTTGGAATTGGAGTCCAAACGTGGCGGTGAGTGTATATATAGACCAAGTTTAGAGATTATGCACTAATATGAACTAAAAGAAAACTCTAAAGCGCACATCTCCTTTGCTGCAGATGGTTTCATTGCAAGATGAGCAGGTCAGTTCCAAGTTCTTGGTTATCTGCAGTTTTGAAGTTGTTTCAGATTCTGTCTTATTGAATTTGTGAACAACTCTGTCTAGGTGCCTATATCACACAACATTTACTGGAAGGAGTTATCGATGCTTATGTATGTCTCGGTGGCTTTTCTTATTGTTCACATTGTTAAGGTAAGCTATTTTACTATGTAGTTCTGTATAACTAAATAAGCTTTTCAAAAGATAAGATCATCACTAGAAATGTAGTCAAGTTCGATCTTTCTAATTCCTCTGCATTTGCAGGGGATGCACTATTGCTTTGAATTTTGCTACTAAATGAATCTATCTGAATCTTTATGCAGACATTATAAACCCAAATGAATGCCCTAAGAACCATGAAATGAAATTATAAAGCTGATTATGGGTGCACTTAGATTGAAATTAAGCTTTAGAATCGGTTATTCTAATTTTTTTTTTTTTAAAGAAATAGTATAGCCGGGCGGCCATACTCGGTTTGTCAAATTTATTTAAAATTAATTGTATAGCCGATCGGCTATACCCCGTTTTTCTATTTTTTTTTAAAAAGAAATAGTATAGGACTATAATTGGTTTTTTCAAATTTTTTTTTAAAAGAAATAGTATAGCCGGCCGGCTATACTCGGTTTTTTAATTTTTTTTGAAAAAGAAATAGTATAGCCCGGCTATACTCGGTCTTTTAATTTTATTTAAACCAAATAGTATAGCCGGTCGGCTATACTCGGTTATTTTTATAAAAAAAAATTAAAGAAATATTACAACCTCCATTTTTTTTTAAAGAAATATATAGCCGCTCGGATATACTCGGTTTTCTAATTTTATTTAAAAAGAAATTGTATAGCCGCTTGTCTATACTGGGGTTTTCTAATATGGTTCTGTGGAGGAATCTTTACTTGTAAGTTGTAATCAAAGTATTCCATGTTAACATTATAATTTCCAGGTTCTGAAGTCTGTGAACTTGGATAACTCCAGCTGACTTTTGAAAATCAAAAGAGCTTCTAGAGGCAGAAACTAACTAAGAAAATAGAAAGCATGACAGAACGGCCTGAGCTGCTTCAAATTATGAATGAGACTAATTAAAAGCTTAATTCTTGGCTGGAGAAGTCACATGCCGGTGGTTTTTGAGAAGATTAAGGATGAATCTTTATTAACGGCTGAGACAATTAAATTATTTAAGAATCTTGTAGAACTGTGATGGTTTTACCAAAGTGGCAGAATATGATTAATAATTGCAATGATGCCACAGGTTGAAGGAACTTGATGGTAGAATCAGAAATCCAGAATTATTAGCTTCTGACTAGTAGTGTTTGTTGTTGCATCTTCACACAAATTCATCTTTGCACCGTGCTTCTCCAATTTGAGTCTTTAAGGTTTTAATATGATTTGTGAGCAATTGACAATTCATTCTGCTACTAATTTGAAGGCTTTTTCAACATCGTCAGAGTATAATAACCATGCAAGGCAGGGGAATGGTGTAATCAGGAAGAAAATGAAAACCCTGCCTACTCCATTTCCAAATAAGTTAGCAAGAAGAAGAGAACAAAATAAGCAAGTTGAATGAATATGGTTCTGTGGAGGAATCATTACTTGTAATCAAAGTTTTCTATATTTTAACATTATAATTTCCAGGTTCTGAAGTCTGTGAACTTGGATAACTCCTCGCTGAACGGCCTGAGCTGCCTCAAATTTGAGAAGATTAAAGATGAATCTTTATTAATGGCTGAGACAATTGAATTATTTAAGAATATGATTAATAATTGCAAGGATACCAGAATTATGAGCTCCTGAATTGTAAAAGTAATAATAATTTTAATAATGTTGGATACAGATTAATATTTAACAAACAACATTTGATCAGAAAATAGCAGATACAGAAAATACAAATATTAAGTAGTGCAAAACAAGAAGCTCAGTCTTTCCATCTTCACACAAATTCATCTTTGCACCATGCTTCTCCAATTTGAGTCTGTAAAGGGATATGATGAGACAGAGCAATACCATAATCAAAATAAAATGAATGCATATATAACAGACTTGTAAATGAGAAGTGGCTTATATAACAGTAGTTAAAGGATCTAAGAAGATTAAGCTTTGGAAAGTCAACGGAAGGACAGAAAACTTACGGTGTGGGGAAAGAATAGTGGGGCGAGCTTTCACCTTGCAGAAGAAGTCGCAGATGATGTTTTGTAAATTTGGTCAATTTCGCAGATGTGTTGTACCTTTGGATGATCCACGCCTCCTTGTTAATGCCTTTAATTTCATGCAGCAATGAAGTATTAACAACTGGAGTTTCGGCATCACACCTTCTTCTATTGTTATGTTTTTCAAGAAGGGGAAATTAAGCAACTCCAGATGTGTGAGCCTTGCAAAGCCTATATTGAAGCACAACTCATTCCCAACAAAGGCATTAACAAGGATAAGCCTTCTAAGACAGGGCAGTGCTTCAATGTGTGGTAGTAGATCTTCTTTAAGTCTAGACCAACGTAGACTGATATCTGTGAGGCTCCTGAGTGAAGCAAACCAACTTGGTACAGTTTCTAGTTTGCCGCTCAAAAGAAGCCTTTGAAGGTGTGGCAGAGGACCTGGAAGAGAAGCAAGTGCATCGATTCGAAGAAATTCCTCTTCACTTGTTACCAATAAATACAGGTAGCGAAGGAGCTTCATCTTTTGAATGGAAGCACAAAGGTTCATCTCATTACTTCCTTTTACATTTGTAATGCCAATGTGAGTAAGTTGGGTCATGTTCCCAACAAGTTTTAAAAAGTTTCCTTCTGAGTCTGATTCAACAAATGACAAAACT